TCATTTTGATCATTATTGAGCGAAATGATCGCTTCTGCCAATCGGCGTTCCCTTGGTCGTTAGTCATTGGTCGGCGCGCTCATTTTGCTCAATACTGAGCGAAATGATCGCTCCTACCAATCAGCGTTCTCCTGAATCTACTCACGTGTTACTTCGTAACAAATAATCAGATCAACAAGAACCTCACCAAAGCACAAGAAAAGAAGCTTATAACCTATATAAATAAGCTCACCGATCAAGGATTTGCACCTACCTATCCAATTATACGAATATTGGCCTATGAAATAGCCAAAAAACCGGTAGGCAGAAACTGGCCGAAAAAATTTGTCCATCGGCATTCCGATCAGCTATCATCCGACTATCTTGCAGCCATAGAAATTAGCTGAACGAAGGCTGATTCAGTGAAAAATTATGGAAATTAGTTTGACTAAGTATTATTACCTAATTTATCGATGTGGTGTAATCCTAATAATATAATATAGGTTTTTACTAAAGTTGATCAATATCACGTGCTACTGAAAAACATCTACAATATGGATGAAAAAGGCATGATGATTGGCAAGCTAAAGGCTTATAAGTATATCTTTACTTCTGTATCAATTAAAAGTGGAAAAATCCTTGGGGTGGCTGAGGATGGTAATTGAGACTGGATTACGATGGTAGCCACCATCTGCGCAGATGGCAGTTGGGTGAGGCCTTTGCTCATCTATCCAGCCAACTCTAAAGATGTACACGATTCTTGGATTCATATAGTAAATTAGGAGACAGATAATATCGCATTTACTGTATCAGAGTTAGGATGGACTAATAATCAACTAGGTCTCTGGTAGTTAACCTATTTTAAAACCATATCATATGCCAAACTAGATAATCCGGAAGATTATCGATTGCTTATCCTAGATAGCCATAGATCACACTTAACTACCAAGTTTTTCGACCTATGCTTCAACAATAGGATCATTTTGGCAGTGTTTCCGCCTCATGCAACGCATAGGCTGCAGCCACTGGATATTAGGATGTTCAGGCCGTTTGCAATAGCTTATAGCCGAACCCTCAATAAATGGATCACAGATAGGATAGGCCTATGCAGGTATATAAAACGTGAATTCTATGAGGTTTTCTGGCCGGCCTATCTGCAATCATTCACTGAGGCCAATATCCTAAGTGCCTGGCTGAAATCCGGCCTATAACCTCAGGATGCCTTAAAGATTATCCATACTATCAATCTAGCACCTTCTAGGCCAAACACTGCTAGTTCAGGCTCATCCAGTATATCTATTTATGCCTTTAGGCAGGTCAAACGAGAGCTCAAAACAGCCATGCAGGGGGTAGATGATCGTATAGCTAAAAGGATAGGTGAGGTGCTTGAGCAGTACCAGTTTGCATTAACTATTGCTGAGCATGAGAGGGATTGCTATGCACGAGCAGCTATTACAGAATTAGAGAGGCGACAGTGCAGTAAACCTGTAGCAAATGCTGTATTCAAAAAAGAGCATGGCAATATAATGGTATGGGATGAAGCTAATATCCAGCTGAAATAAGAGTTTGATGAATCCCAAGAGGTTAAAAAATAGGCAATTGAGGCTAAGAAAATAGCAGAGAAGGCTGCTAAAGTACAAAAAAAGGAGGAACAGGAGATTTTACGTGCTCAATATAAGGCTATAGTTGCTGATCAGAGGTTACAGAAGGCTATCCAGAAGGATATAGCTAAGGATGCATCTTCAAAGCCTGTTGCACCTTCAAAAATTAAGTAGGCTAAACCTAATCAGGCTCAACACCAAGAAAATGGCCTAATAAAGCAATCACAGGTGACAAAAAAGCTTCATAATCCCGAGGTGGTGGTGGTGGATGGTACTAAGGGTGATTCTTCGAAGGTGGCAGATGGGCAGTCAAAACGTTTGCGCAAACCGCCACAATGGCTTAAAGATTATAAAACTTAGTCAATAGGCTCATATAAATCACTTATAATACTATATATAATTTTATATTGATTGAACCATTATTGCATATGCTATTAATTAATATAGTGCCTGGGTGCTGGTGGTAGATGGCGCGTGCATACCTAGGCCCGTGCACACGGGGGTCATGACTTCTACCCCGCCTACGCACGGACTACTACTGAATTGTGACGCTCTTGGCACCCGATCAAAAAAAACTCAAATGTTGAAATTTTTAAAAAAGCATAACAGCCTCAATATAATAGCTATATAGATGAAATAATATCCTATATAAAAGTTTAAGACCAGATCTATCTTATAGGCTTTTCAAAAAATTGTGAAAAAAATTCCTCAGTTTATACCCTAAGCCTGAGGTTGTAGACCTTTGGAACGCCCCAAGCCGGCCCCGGATCGTCCCCAGGTCGACCCCAGACTTGCCCCATACACGACCCCCTGGTAGTAAGCCCTCGTCTCGAGGACACCCTGCAGTCAGACAGCTATTCCCACCAAAGGTGACCCTGTAGTGCGATGACATCGGCAAACGATCTCTCGTCGGATCTTAGAACTTGCTCCGATGAGAGCGAGAGAATTCAATAGGACTTCTGAGGATGTAATGGACGCTAAGCACTTCAATTGCCATTGCTGACTCGTGAATCGTAATAAGATTTCACCTGCTCAATATGACTTGAAAGTCTCGATATTGCTCAAATCTTCATTCTTCTACTCCGGACATATTGTCTTCACTTTCAACTCTCGGCTTCATTAGGTCATTTTCAATTCTCTCGAAAGAAATTATGATAATCATGGGAGATCAGCAAGCACAAACGAAGTCACAAACCCCACAGTCTCTTGCGGGAAAGCTTGCAATTGTTACGGTTGCATCCAGGGGTTTGCATGATCTCCGTTAACCCATTAGTTCTATACGAAATTCTAATCTTGTTCTGGCAGGAATTGGTGCGGCTATATCCCTGTTACGAAGTAACACGTGAGGGAACACGTGAGGCGCTCATTGGGATCATTCTGCAAGAATGAGCCGGATGAGCTCGTTGTCCAATCACAGGAATCTTATATGTTCTTGATTGGAGGAAAGGCTCATTCTGTCCATATTTAAGAAATGAGTAAGGTAATAAGGAACTACAGTCTTTGGTCTATAAAAATATCCTGTCTCTACCTCATTCACGGCTCTCTGTAATTCAACTGTCTAGTTTACCTAGTAGTTAGTTTGAATACATTCTCATATCTCGAAGTTCATACTATTCTGAGTCATAAATATAACTATCTTATTATACTTCCTTCCATAATAAGCTCTGATTATACATTGTCCCAAGCTCATCCCTTCCGAAGTGATTCACATTAGTGAAGCTAGTCGGTATTGGGAAAGTATTCCTAACAATCCCATAATTTAGCCACAAAAGGTGCATCTGTTCTCAACTATGTATCCGACCGATCGAAGAGACGACGGAGAATCTTGCGCTGAAATTGCAAACTCAATGTCACACCAAATGTCTCGCCATACAAGCGGATATCAGCTCAAAGCGAGGAGTGGAAAAACTCATCCAACAAGTGAAAGATGCCTTTTCGGTACCGTCTTCAACCCTCTAAATCCACATATTGATCAACAATGCTGGCATTGCCAAGAACGATCACATTAAAGACGTCAAAGTTGAAGATTTTGATTGGATGTATCAAACAAACGTCCTTGGGCCATTGCTCATGGTCCAAGCCGTAGAGAAATATCTACCCAATGATAGAAGTGGTAGAATTGTAAACCTCTCTTCAATATCCTCGTCAGAAGAGTTCCATGGCCAGACGGTGTACGGTGGGACAAAGGCTGCCGTTGAATCTATGACACGGACTTGCGCTCGTGAGCTTTGCGAGCGCTGCACAGTTAATTCTATTAATCCAGGCCCTGTTTTAACAGACACGTGGACCGGAATGCCTCCGAGTCACAGAAACGGACTGAAAGATTGGATGGCCCATTCGCCGCTGGCAGCAGCGAGAAAGGGAATTGACAGCGAGGAATTGATCGAGCAAGCAATAGATGCAGGTGGCAGACCAGGATATCCGTCCGAAATTGCTGGTATCGTTGGTATGCTCTGTTCAGAAGAAAGTGGTTGGTGTACTGGCCAAAGTGTTTGTGCAAATGGAGGGATGCGTATGGCAATATGAAGTAGTTTTCTCATGACTTCAATGGACTATCCGCTAGCTCCAGATCCACTTTCTACCTGGCAGTCATTAAACCTAGGTGTTGGCAGCTCTGTCATATGCGGAAGCGGTATTATCTTATCTTTTTCAGTTTTATGACTAGTTCGAAATCGCAAGCACAGAATGATACTGCGACATGGATATGAGAAGAAGTCTAATATCCAGACATTATTGCTTACTTTGATTTAGCATTTCTAAGAACCAGTAGTTACAGAATGCTCGGTAAGTTAGACAGCTAGGCCGGTACTTTAGATAGATACCTAGTGAGCAACGGTATTCTGGATTTTAAATAGTGCACCAGAGCGTGTCGTGTCGTTCTAATCACGATGTAAATACTTATGATGACTCGTACCAATGATTCCATTCTAATGCTTTATATGATTCAAGTTCTACGTAAAAAGTCCCATCGCTGTATTTCCTTAGCAGACTGTCACCGATGTTAGTTCTTTGTATCGATGTATGTATACTGTTAATGGCGTAGACTTACTTCCAATCACACCGTTTACTGGGATATCAATCGAAGTAGTATAGCTTGCAGCATCGCTGAGCAGGTAAACATAAGCGCCTCCAAGTTCCTGAACCTCAGCTAATCTAGGAAAGCCACCGTAGTACTTTAGTTGTTGCTCCCAGTCGGGTTGCTGAGAAACCCAGTATGTCATGGCGGTACGGACAAGACCCGGGGAGACACTATTGACGCGGATACCGTACTTGGCCCACTCCATCGCAAGAGTATGTGCCATGTTGCGAACGCCAGCTTTACTGGCACCATAGGGAGCAGATGGGACGCGCTTGTTTGGCCGATATGATGCCATGGAAGCAGTGAAGACGATCGAACCTTTGATGTTCAGACGAATGAAAGCTCTCGCAGCGGCTCGTGCGGTATAGAAGGCAGTGTGCTGATTGGGTGGATCTAATTGGATAGATCCATTCGGATTTATCCAATAAGCCACAATCCAAATTGGGCGGTGGATTTGGATAATCCATCCGGATGATCCAATTATATAGTGGTGGCTTAATGCTTAGGCCAATTGTGAGCATATCTGCCACCTCTCATCACATATGCCAAACTTGCCTTATCACACCGCATTTCATCATGTCATCATTGTGCTATGCTCTTGCTCATAATAAGCCCGTCCTGAAGCCAAGTACCATCAATCATGAACAGTGGTATACCGCCATGGCAAGCAATCGAGCCTCAAGACGTCATCCTGAAAGACCTAAAAATGAGGTAGTGGTGGTTGAGTCACCACTACACTCACCATCAAGTCCCACCTCATCACTTGCAGACGCATCTATTGTTATATCAGATGTATCATCACCACCAACTCAATCAGAGGACATAAGCCTGAAAGCACACGCCGGTGACCTCAATACCTTTGTACCGAAGCGATTTGATTATACTAAGGTGGAGTTCACAAGATTGCCTGGTTTTACTAAGCAAATCGGAAGAGCAGTAAATCGGTTGAACTCACCTATATGGGATCGTGGTGTGCTTATCGAAGAAATCGAGACCAATAACCATTATTGGCTATGCTTAGAATGCCACCAAAAACAGGTGAAGCAGAAGCACCATTGGCCGATTAAGAATGGCACAAGCAACGTTACCAAACATATTCGAAATCGGCATAACGAGGAGTTCAGAAAGGAGGATGGTGGTTGGGTACAATTGCAGAATCGAGGTTCAACACCATTATCAGATCTTGATATAGATCCGGTGCAAAAGCAGGCAGTTTTGAATCACTTAGCGACGTCATTTGACAATCATAACTTCAGAAACTTGGTGGTGAGGTGGATTGTCGATACCAATCTCGCGTTTAGGCAGGT